CCTCTTGATTACAAAGAATAAGTCAAAGGGGGCTTGTAACTGCAGTATTGCAATTATATTTAATCTAGAATAAAAAAATGAGGGAAAAATAATACCTAGCCAATTGTCCATGCCATATGATCTTCTGTTCTTTCTATATCCCACTGATAGCTCACCTGGTCCCTGAATGCAAAAGCTCCATTCTGGCTGCTTCTCCTTTTGCAAGTCTGAAATCCCCTGTGTATAACACAGTGCCATTCTCACCTTCGAACAGAAACCTGCAGAGAGCAACATTTGGGTCAAACTCCTCATTAAATGCCAGGTGGTGAAACATTTAAAGTATCGAAAGGACATACATGACTGAACCTGGACAGTGACCAGCTGGCAGAAGTGTCACCACCACATCTTCTTTCTGGAAGAGAGGGATTAGCATTATTTTCAGACTGTAGTAAGTACTTCCAGTACTTTTGTCAGCACGGTGAGAGCAATGCATTACTCCCCACAGCCTTCTGCAGCATTTAGCATTGCTTTTAAAACCAGAGAGTCTCTTCACACTGCAGTCGCCATCCAGTCATGGCAGACAAGAGAACCAAGTATTTTGTGGTGCTAATAAAGCAAGTTGGACAGAAGACAGTTCTGCTTCCTTGGTTCCTGGTGAGCAAGTACAGAATAGTTTGAGTTGGAAGGGACCTTTAAAGTTCATCCAGTCCAACTCCCCTGCTATAAACAAGGACATCTTCAACTAGATCAGACTGCTCAGACCCTCATCCTCACCTTGAATGTTTCCAGGGATGGGGCATCCACCACCTCCCTGGGCAACCTGTTCCAGTGTTTCACCATCCTCATTGTAAAATGCATCTAGTCTGAATTGAGCCTTTTTTAGTTTAGAACTACCATCACCTTTTTCTGTCACTACAGGAGAGGAGGGGCACATACATTTTAAAAATAGCTTGTGCACTTCAGATGCTGCAGCTGTGTTTCCTTTACTCATGCAAACAGCATTACTGCCCAGGACTGACATATGAATCTTTTTTTCCTGTAACTTACCTCACCAGATGTTTCATCCTCTAAAGAAATCTGAGTTGGTGTTTCAACTTCCAATGCAACCTGTAACAAAATTATTAATTGCATTATAGGAAATACTGAACATTATATTTCATGTTTATGTCTTGGTATTTATTATGTAGACATCTGTACCACTCACTCTGGCTAATGCTAACCCTGTAAAATTAAACTCATTTTCCAATAGTAAGTCATAAATATCCATTTCCAGTGGAATAAATTTGCCTTAAAGTTGTCTAAAAATTAAATGGAGATACCTCAACCAAGGTATGGATGCCTAAAAGAGTTAAGAGTGTTGGACTTCTATCAGCAACAGCTTTTGTTCCTCTGGATGGATCATATGCCTTACTTTTGGATGACTGCAAAACCCAAAATTCCAGTCCCACAGCAGTGGATCTTGCTAGGACAGCTCTGTGCTGCAGTACTTCCCACTGCCCCCTATTACCAGAAGCCTATTTCCAGAGCCCACAAAACACTGGGAGCACGTATTCCTGTATTTGTTATAGTTATATATTGTTATATAAAAAGATAGTTATTTTTATTTCTGTAAAAAAACCTCATGTTCTGTTTTATAATTAATAATTATTATATGATTATAGTATATATAATATTTTTATAGAAAAAATTTGTTATATAATTATTTTTATTTATGTAAAAAAACCTCATGTTCTGTTTTATAATGCCTGCATCTGCAAAGAGAAGGAAGTAACTGTAATAATACTGATCCCTTGCAGTCTGGCTCCAAACACTGGAAATCAAGTAAATTTATTAAGTTTTTCAGTGATTTTATACTAAAACTTCTTCATGTTATAGTCTATTTTCCAAACAGCAAAAGGAAAATCATATAACTTCAGATTATATACACTCCAAGCAATAAGAGACTTTAAATGAAGTGAAAGAGAAATAAAGGACAGAAGCAAAGAGATGTGAGCAAGGTAAGGAAATGAATATAAATTCAAATGTACAAATTATCACTGTAAGGATGAAGGCCATGTAAAGCTGAAGTTGAGAGAAAAGGAAGAATTTTTTTGGGGAAAATAATTAAACAACAAACAGCAATAAACCAATGGCACATGGCAAGCAGCAGGAAAGGCACATTGTTGGAAGTGCTCAAGCCCTGAAACACTATCAACACCAATATTCAGACACTCCTGAGGAGCCGAGAGCTGTTTCTTTCTGAGAATCACTGCTTTACAAGTGCTATTTTCAAAATAAACACAAACTCACAATATGATTCTCCCAAAACTTGTATTTCCAGTTAGTCAACAACAATTCCTTAGTTACAGGTGAGCAGTATAGTTTAACTTTCAAGCTGTGAGGAGACAAAAAACACAGATAAGTGTTTTTTAAAGTAGACATGAGGAACAATCTAACGACACATCAGCACCTGGCACCCAGTACATCAAACCCTGCACTCAGAAACCTCTCATGTGAGGAGACCTGCAGAGCTGGAAGCCTGCAGGCTTCTCTTCAGCACAGCAAACCCAAACCTACCCCTGTGTGCCCCTGCCTGCATGGTTTTGTGCAGACACAAATGCAGCGTGTGGTACATGGTCATGACCTGTCTGCTTGTTTCTCCACCCCTGCAACAGGCATTTGGGACAGTCAGCACACAGAACATTCCTTATGAAGTTTGAGCTGATGCACAGAGACCTCATGAGCAAAGAGAGATTCTCTGCTTGCATCAGAGGAGAAGCAACATCTACTTAATAAACCAAAGACAGCGTAGGAACTAGTCCACAACCTTCCTGGGCCCATTGCCACATTTGATCATTCTCATGGTGAAAAAGGTGCCCTGGCTCTTTCTTTATGCACTTCCATGAAAAGTCTGGCTCCATCTCCTCTACCCCTACCTGCAGTGGTACACGATTGTCTCCTAAGGCTGAAGACATCCAGCTCTCTCAGCCTCTCCTCACACATCATGTGGCCCTGGCCCCAGACCAGTGTGATGATGCTGACCAAAACACCTATCAATTTATTATCCAGGGGACCCAGGGCTGGACACAGTACCCCAGAAAAGTCTCACAGATGCTGGCCAGAGGGGAATAAATGTCTTCCTCAAACTGCTGACTACCTGCTTGCTTATACGCCTCAGAGAGCACAGCTGGCCTCTTCACTGCACAGGCACAGCACTGTCTCTGTGTACCAACACTTCCACGGAATAACAGAGAGATCCTCATGAAGCTCACAACACGAGGCCGAGTGTACCTGAATCCGGGCAACCCCTGGTATCAAAACAGACTGAGGGATAAATGGGTTAATAGCAGCCCTGCAGAAGACTTCAGGTAATGGTGGATGAGAGGCTGGACATGAGCCAGCAGTGTGCATTTGCAGCCCAGAAAGCCAATCTCATCCTGGGCTGCATGCTCAGCACTGTGGGCAGCAGGAAAAGGCAGGGGACTCTGTCCCTCTGCTCTGCTCCTGTGAGCCCCCACCTGCACTGCTGCATCCAGCTCCGGGGTCCCCAGCACAGAAGGACCTGGTGGAGCAGGTCCAGAGGAGGCCACAAAGATGCTCAGAGGGCTGGAGCACCTCTCCTGTGAAGGCAAGGCTAAGATAGCTGGGGATTTTCAGCCTAGAGAAGAGAAAATTCTGGCGGGACATTACTGGTACCATTTGACATTTAAAGGCGGGTTTCAAGAATTATGGTGTGGACAAGAGGAGATGACTTGAAATTGAAAGGGGGCAGGTCTAGATGAGATACGAGGAAGAAGTTTTTTACAATGAGTGAGGGTGGTGAGGCACTGAAACAAGTTGCCCATCCCTGTGTGAGAAATGTATATTTGATGATTGGCTTTTCGTGAATACTATAATGAATATTATATGTGTAATGTTAGAAAGTTATGCTGCATTAATTCTCTTACATAGTGTGTTAAATACGGTTTTAGGTTCCAACATAATGTTAAAATAGACACTATGTATGTGGGGGGAGTTTTTTTTTAGGAATGAGATACTCGCTTTGAGGAACACCTAAATATTCCAAAGGAGAGGAATTTATGGCTTCTTATCAGAAGAAACTAATTTCTTCAAGCCTTGCTCAGACTCGAAGATGCCATAGAGATCAAAGAAAACAGTTAACATAAAACAGACAGAGTTTCTTGTTTTAAATAAAATGTATGCATAACCATGAAGGATATATAAATATGCAACAAGTGTATTGTTTTAAGGGTGATTCCTTTGTTCACAAGGTATGCTTTTCGCGACTTAAGTGTCCGAGAGCATCCGGCCGTCCATAATTCTTTGCTTTTTATTGTCTTGTAATTGTCCTAACTCTAAGCTTTATTACTCTAATTGCATTATTATTTTAATAGCCATTTTATTATTATTAAACTTTTAAAACTTTAAAAACCAAGTGATTAGCGTTTTTCACACCTGGAAGAGTTCGAGGCCAGGTAGGAGCAACCTGGTGTAATGGGATGTATCCCTGTCCCGTTCCCATCCTGGGATTTATGACCCATGGCAGCTCCCGGAGCTGTTTAGCCGCGCACCGGCCGCCTCCCCTGAGGCCGCCCCGCCACCAAGCCCGTACCTGCCCTCCAGCCTCCTCTTCAGGGCGGTGGCCCGCAGCCCCATCATGTGATCTGGGGAGAGAGGCACGGGTCAGCGGGGGAGGAGGGACACGGCGGGGGAGGAGGGACACGGCGGGGGAGGAGGGACACGGCGGGGGAGGAGGGACGCGGCGGGGGCGAGTGGCCCGGCGGGCGCTCACCCTTGTGGCAGTGCGACAGGAAGAAGGCGCGCGCGCGCAGGTTGTCGTGGTCGAAGCGGTCGATGGACGCGGCCGGGTACTCGCGCGTGCGGCCCCCGAACCGGCTCATGGCGGGCGGCGCGCGCTTCCGCCCGCCCGACCCCCACAGCCAATCCCGAGCCGGCCCCGGCCCCCCCAGCCAATCCCGAGCCGGCCCCGCCCCCGCGCCGGCCTATCCGGGGCAGGCGCGGCCTTTAAAGGGGCCGCGTCGGGCCGTTGCCTGGTGACCGTTGGCGCCGTGAGGGGCGAGCCGTGAGGGGCGGGAGGCGGCCCTGAGGGGCGCCTCGGCCGCCGCTCCGCCCCGCGTGAGAACAGTCCCCGTTTTGCGTCTCCTGAACCGAGGTGGGCCGCCTTAAGGGCTGGGTGGGCGGGTTGTGGCCAGGGCGGTGGGAGCAGGGTCGCAGTTACGGATGCGTCTGCTTGAGCGCCTCGGAATGTACAAGGAACTGTCAGGTGGAGTAGATAGAAGCCACTGGAAAGAGGGGTCTTAGATTAGGTATTAAGGAAGAATTTTTTTACAGTGCCGGCTGTGAGGCACTGGGACAGGTTGCCCGGTGATGTTGTGGTGCCCCAACTCTGGAACAGTTCAAGGCCAGGTTGGATGGGGCTTTGACCAGCCTGATCTAATGGAAGGTGGCCCTGCTCGTGGCAGGGGGTCGGAACAAGATGATCTTTAAGGGCCTTCCCAACCCCTTGACATCCTATGAAATCTCTTACTGGCTCTTCTGAGACCCCAGGCAAGTCCTGTGTTTGCTGTCTCGGGTTAAGTGATGTAGGCGGTACCGCCATCTCCTCCCCCTGCTGCGCCCCAGGGCCTCTCCTGCCTGGGGACCTGGTGCTCCTTGTCCGGCTCAGGATGCAGCAGGGCTCCCTGTCCTGCTCGATATTTGCTGGTGAACATGGGTGTGCACCCTAGGTATAGCACAGTGAGTGAAGGCACAGACACCACTCCTCCCCAGCACCAGGCACACAGGCTGTGACCCACAGTCCTGCTCCAGCCTGCTGACATGGAGCCCCTCACTCATGACAGCCCTCCCCCAGTAGCTAATATTTCAGGATACATCCTGGTACTGCTCAAGTGGCTGGAAATTTAGCACTCCCCCAGGCTCCAGATATCACAGGCCAGAGGTGCTCATACCCCAGCCTGACTCCAGTGTTCACTCATACACGGGTCTCACCAGGAGTTGTCACTTTATCCTTGCAGCACACACACACGGGGAATACACAGTTTGTGCAGAGAGGCAGTCAAGATTTAAGCAGATACAATAGGGTAGGACAGTTTGTAATGATCAGATGTGGGGCTTAGCTGGACTTGTAGTACTGACTGGTCCTGTTTTACACAGGACAGGCTTATTTTATACTCCTTTCTGTCTATTCTCATCTTTGTTTCTCACTGCTCCTGCACATTCCTCACAGATCTATACAGTTCCATGGATTCCCACACCTCTCGAAGTCTGGGCCCCCCTGGTTAAGTCTCACCAATGCAAGGTCCAGGTTGGTCTCCCTGGATGTCATTCCTGTAGTTCCTTAACAGCCCAACTATTAGTGCTGGAATTGAAATTTATCAGTGTTTGTTTTGTCAGGTTCCTGTCTCTGCATATTTTGTTTGTTTCCGCCTTTTTCCCACATTTCCCAACTGACAAGGTCCCTAATCAGATAACCTTGCTGGAATAAACATTCATACACTCTTCACATGCCACAGGTGTGTTTCTCATCTTCACTTTCCTCATTTGCTGCTCAGGTTTGAGTCCCCATATATTGTTTTATGTCTTTCTCCCTTCCTTTCCTGTAACCCCATCTTGCAGTGAAAATGGGCTTTGAGCAGATGCCCTAACTCTCCTCCCACAAACCCTTACAGCTTGTGTAACTGTTCAGGAAGCCACCATCAGTGAGCCCAGGCTAGTTAGGATTCCACAGTAATTGTGTTATGATTAACATTAAAAAATCTGTTCCCAAGGCCAAAGCACTCACTGTTTACCCTAAATTAGGAGCTGGCAAACATTGTCATCTTAGCAAAGTACACTTCACTGTTCAAAAATTCCCCTTCAATGAAAAGCATTAATATTAAACTGAACATTTTCTTATCATTCTCTTGTCTTCTTTATTTGCCTTTGTCATCTCTTCCCTGAATTCCTGGCTGGAGTACAGCTGTCCCCTGCTCTGGTACAATGAAAACAGCTCTGTGCCTAGAACTTGGACACACAATAGACAAAGAGTACAATTTTTAAATAGCAGCCCCAAAATGGGATGCTTTCATTATATGAAGTCACTAAGCTGGACCTTTCAATATATGATCTTTATATTTTGGGCAGGAACGCCTGTGGACAGGCTCTGTGAATTAACGGTGACTCAAGAAGTGCCAGACCTACCCACACATCTTGAAGAAAAACATTAGGTGAATCCAGCACACCCAGTAAAGAAGTACTTAACACTAATGACATGTAAGTTATCACAAGGCACGTAATTTCATTATAGCTTAGCATTTCTTAGGATCTAATATTTTAAAATTTTGTTCTACCCATTACTCGATGTTCCCAACAAAATCACTTGCTTCTGTCTTCTCTATTTAATATTTTTAAGTCTAATTTCAGGAAGATGTCTGAAGTTTCTGAAGTCATGACTAAAGCTGAAATCAAACCAAAATCTATGCACCGTGCCAAAATATGGTCAAATGACGTAGAGAACTTATACAGATTTCAGCAAGCTGGATACAGAGATGAGGTGGAATATAAACAAGTTAAACAAGTTGATAAGGTAAGATTTAGAACTTTGTAGTGTAAGAGTTACTAATTTAAACTTCTGTCTCATGTAAAATGATTAAATAAAAATGGAGGTGCTGCTTATTTCCTTTCATTTAGGCTAGGTTCTGATACAGTGGGTTTCTTCACAGTTCTGACATGAACTCTTGAGCTGTTGTTAACCCAGTAGAATAACTCACTTCATAGAAGTGAAGCAGAAATACTACCTAGCCCATGTTTTATTCCCCATCTCTGATGCATTTAGAAGCATCACAAATCTGTTTGAACAGATGTAGCTGATCTCCAAAGGAATAATTCAGTGTTCAGGAAATAAATATTTCAAAGTGAGTTCTCTGAAGTTTCCCTGTTAGTCTGTCAATAGACTTGATAGGAAACTTGTTAATTGTCCATGGAGTCAATCCTGTGTCATTGCTACTGCTTCAGTTTGCACTTGGGTTGTGTGGTAGCCCAGTCAGGCTTTGTGCACACTCGGAGCTCAGCCTCTCTCAAAATGATGTCCAGAAGGGCAATATTTGAACTGTACTAAAGGCAGCTGTGACACAGGCTCTTGTCAACACCAGGGACTCGCGCCTCTGCTCACTGCAGCTGTTAGTGATGCTCCCCAGCACATCAAATGAGCTACTGAGTAGTGGACAAATATCCAGTGGCTACTCAAGGTTCAAAATAGCCACCAACAGATTAATACAACAAACAATATATCATTTTTTATTACAGCTCTGTAATTTATCTTCCAAAGCAACAAATATATTATGAAGAACACACTTTTAAGATATGTTGACTTCCTTTGCACATAAGAAAGAACAGAAAGTTCCAAGAAACTCACACCCCATCCAGTTAATGCAAAACACATTGTGTGCATAATAAGGTAGTTTATTATTTTACTGTGGACTCTGATACCACTGCAAAGGCTGTGGTATAATTTTCAGTAACTGCAGAAGGAAATCATGTCATTATTGTGGTAGGATCTGTGTGCTCAAGATTTATGGCAGGGCACAATCACTGGCAGTTAAACCCTGATGAAAGTTAAAGAATGCCACTGACTAACTGTAATGTGACTGTGCATTCAGTTCCAGCATGCCAGGGCCTGGCAGTGATTCTTGTTCAACTTACATATTCTGAAATGTCTTGTTAAGTCCATATTGGGTTTCTATAATGCAGTTGTTACTAAAGATGCAATTATAATGTAGGTGGAATGAATATTGAGGCTGTTAAGACAGACAATGCAAATAACACAACTGTATGCCTGAAGTCATAAGGTAAGTGATGAAGTGGACTCTCCAATTAGAGAATGCTCTAGTTTGACATCCTGTTGTCAGCTCTGCCTGGAAGAGAAACAAAATGCTTATTACCTGATTTTTAAGGTTTAGTTTAATCAGAAGCAGTCATAGATGCTCAAGCTGAAAGAGCTACTAAAGCCATAAAGCTGCTGAATGTGCAAATGCTGAAGCCTTTAATTTAAAGGTTTACACGTTGAAATAGCAAAGAGCACCAGGGTGAATGCTGCATTTATATGATGTACTGTCTTTGAGACTGCTACAGTCTACTAATGAAAAGCACATTTTTCATGGTCAGAAGAATCTGAAAGAAACCTTTAAATATATGTCAGTCTTACAGGAGCAGACACTTGCAGCCTCTCAGATTACTGAATAACTGAATAGCATCAATGTTATATTCCTAAACAAGGTGTTTTAAAATATTTGACTTGTCCAATTTTAAATTAGCCTGTTAAATATCCTTAGATTCCTATTTCTAGGCTTTTCACATCACATACATTTATATTAAACCTGAAAACTGGTTTCTGTCATCTTGTTCTCAATCTGTTTTTAAAAGTTCAGCAAGTTAATAGAAAAGTAGTATTCAGATGCAAATGAGGGTTTCCTATGAAAGTATGCCTTATATTCTTTGCAATTTCATGCACAAACATCATTTAATGTGAACATGTTTAGGTGATTTTACATCCTTTTTGTTCTACTTGTAGGTAGAGTGCTGGCCAGAAACTGGATTTGTTAAGAAACTCCAGAGAAGGGACAATACATTCTATTATTACAATAGGCAAAGAGAATGTGAAGACAAAGATGTCTGTAAAGTGAAAGTTTATGTGTATTAGTGTTGTTAGTGTTCTGGTTGGTTTGTTTTTATAAATTGTTTCTTAAGACCTGTAAGTAAATGAATGTGTAATCTGGCTTTCCTTAAGTATCCATGTCATGCTTAGATAAATAGGGAAGTGCTGGAAATGTAGAGAAGCCTGAACTATAGACATAGAAACTTCATTTTTTCCTTCCTGTAACTAAAAGTCTTACTATTCCTCATTTTCCTGGTTAGAAATGCTTTGACATAAAGCTAAAAATGTGGTAAATGGGCATATATTTCAGTTAACTGTATAACATCCATTGTAAGTACAAGCATCAATCTTTATTCCAAACAATATAATCAAGTTGGCACTGGTTAATGTCAGCCACAGTCTCTTGGGGTAGCTAAAGGATATGAGATTCCAAGGGGCCAAAATGAGGCCAGAACACTGATTAATATTTCCTTAGAGCAGAGCAAGAAAAACAAGCAAAGAATTTAAATAAAGGATGCTGAACAATCAAGTAACAATGGCCAGTGCTGAGCTGCAGATATAAAGGCTTGTTATTGTGATAGAAAGAGTCGCAACAGAAATGTCTTTCTGTCTATCCCCAAAGTATTTTTGTCAGGTGCCAGTATTAATTACTCAAAGAGGAAGTATTAATTGACTTAGCAGAATGTACCTTCTTGCAGGGGTAGATTGTGGATTAAATCCAAGATGTTTGGAATCTGGAGTATAAAACTACAGGGAGAACGTGAAATCCACGCTTGGTAATATTTAGGGGAAAGTGACATACACAGATAATATATGTTATTTCTGGGCAGAATTCATCTCATCTAACTTCAAATGTCGCATTATCAACATCCATACCTGATCCTGTCATTTGGACAGCTTTTGTTCTGAATAGAGAGAAGCTCTTGTGGGCACAATTAATTTATTTTAAGCGCAGCTATGGAACATTTTAAATATGCTGCTGTGACATCAGCTCTCCAGCAGCTGCCTGTACCTGGGCTACTGAAACACTCAATGAGCATGAGGAACTGTAGCTACCTTCACTTATGAGGGGATTTAATTAAAATACTTTGAGATGCCAAAGCTCTTGATAGTTGACCAGTAGAACAGACTGTTGTTATGTAAACCAGTAGATGTGTTTATAGTAGCTACAAAAAAATTGTTATTAATATTTCCTATCTCTAGACTGTTGACCAAGGGTATCTAAACTCAGTTTTATGCATGACTTAGCAATGTACATTTGACCACCTATCTTACGGATATTCGTCATTTATTTGAGCCTAAGATGGAAGCAGACTCAAGATGAGAAATAGAGGACTTACAGCTCCTAGTCAAAATAAGTAGTATGAGTGCAATATTTAAAAGACCTCATTGACAATGACGGGTAATGATCTCCTCATCTTATATAGACTACTTGGAAAGTTTTAGCTTAAATTTGTATGAGCTCTGCTAGAGAAATGACTGAAAGATCATTTCAGTCATTCACTCTGTAGCAACTATGAAACTTACATTCCCAGAAGGTTTTAATGGCATATAGACAGTTACTGCAATGTAGAGAAATAAAGCATTGTTACAATGAATGCCACTTCAGTCTTTCATTATGATTTCTTTTTTGCTTGGAGTGCTCTGGATGTACTTTTTAAAACCATGACTTCTTCTTTACAGTTAAATAGTGGGAACAGAGCAGTTACGAGATAAGCAATCTATTTTGTCACTTTGGTTTAGTGGATCTCACTTCGTTAAATTTATAGATTCTTAAAAATAAAATATTCCAGTGGACATGAAAACAGTCTTTAAAGAATTTCACAAAAAATAGATGTGGTGTATAGCCAGCTCAAATTTATTGTCAGAAATTATTGCTATCAGCACACACAGAAGAAGTGAGAACATTTGGTACAACCATTTTCTCAGTCTATAAATAAGACATAGTTGGGCATTTGAGAACAGGAATTAAAACTGCAGGTAACTTTGTAGGATTTAATGTGATTTTTTTTCCTCAAGAAAGATTTTTAAAAATTGAAACACATAAGAGATTATTCTGGCATTCTCTCATTTTACCTGACTACTCCTCAATATTTTTGCAATATTGCTGGGTTCTTCTGTCTGTAATTTGAAACCATGAGTATGCATTTCATGGAGCCCATGGATATTTCACTTCAAAAAAATAGCATGGGAATTCATGTTCCACTTTATATGAGTTGACAGATGCTTCCCATTTAGAGAGAGTGTGTTACCTAGATATTACTTACATTTTTCAGCATTGTCAATGTAAAAAAAGATTGAATGTCACTGTGATATTTAAAAGATTTACAGGATGAAAGAGAAAGACAAGCCTTGTAATTAGTAAGACCAGTTTACAGAGATGGTGTCAGGACTGGTGAATTTGGGAGTTCTCTCAGTTCATTAGCAAAACAGCAGGTTTTGTACTGACAGTGTTGGTTTCAATGATAATTGTTCTTTGACATCCATTTTGTGCTAAACTTAAGATAATGTGACCATTCCTCCAGCCTGCCAAAGTTCCTCCAGACCAGGCTTCAGCATTCAACTGTTCTGGCTGAGCATGAATGTGGTACTTGAGTACCAACAAAGTTTCCTTTGCTGCCTGTGTGCTGGATGTATCTTTCACTCAGAAGAGCTGTCAAAAGAACTCAGTGTTTTCTCTTATCTGATATATCTGATAAGAGAAATATCTGAAATATTTCTTAACTGAAATATCCCTACCTCAGTTTTAAGCAGGTGGAGAACTGTGAGCTCACTTGTCTTTTAAGCTTAGTTATGAAGGAGTATCAGAAATAAGTGATCTGGGGAAGCTGTGCTTCATTTAAGGGTGACACAACAGTACTTATCAACATAAATAATTCCTGAACATCATTATATGACCTTTACTGAATTTTAAAGAGCTAAAGCACATATCTCAAGTTTTATTGCATAGAGATGAAAATATGTGCTATTTTTCTGATTTGAGTCTTAATAAAAGTAATTATATAAAAAATACTTTCCCAGGTACTTATCTGTTGGTATTTCTCTTATCAGGGCATACTGAACTGCTCTCAATGGCCATTTACAGCAGCTCAAGGAATGGCTGGTGGCAAGTCTCTCTGTTAGCTTGCAGCTGCCTAAGCCTGAGCTGCTTGGTCTCATTCTAATTCCGTTCATAGCTTTGTACAAGAAGAATAAATCCTTTCTGTGCCTGGGAAAACCAAGTTCCAAGACCTGCTTTTCAGACTTTGTGTTTGACTGCTGCACATGAAATGACAAAAGTGCAACCTGTGGTGTTCCAGGCTGCTGTGCTCTCTTTTTCAGGCTTTACTGGAATCCATTATGGAACAGTGTTTTCTGATAGTGATACAATGGTTGTTTGCTTGCTTTGTAATCACAGCAGCTCAAAGCTCCACATGGATGGTAGAAGCGTTTTGATTTTTCACTTAGGCACCTGAATGGCCAGTTGTTTTTCCACCTCTGAAGGCAGTTGAACCTCAACCTTTTGGTTTTCAAACATAGTTCCCTTGTTTCAAAGTGTTGAAAATGGCTGGCCTCAAACTCATTAAAAACACCTTTCTAACTCAGGAGCTGTTGGTGCTGCTTTTCCTCACATTGTTGATACAAATAAAGGCTGCCTGGAAGCAGCTGGAATGGAGCTTCCCTATGCTCCTTGCAGGTTCTCTCCTGGTACTCCAGTTCCACTGAATTTATCTTATTCATTGGATCTGCTTTCTCAGTAGCCTGCCTGTGCTGAGCACCTCTTAGCAACTGTAATTATTTTAGAAACACCACAATTTCTTTCTTGTTGCAATTGAGACTTTGCATTTAATTCAAGTCTGAAGCACAGCACCCTCACAAACAGCATTTGGGATGGTGACTGGGGAATGTCTACTGACAGCAGAGTTCCAGTGTGGCACCCAAAAAATTACTGCAATTTAACTTTGAAAAAACATAATGATTTTTATGGATGCTTTGTTCTGCCAGTGTATTTACATCTCTGAGCGTTGAGATAGAGTATCTTTGCTGCTTGTTGCTTTTGTGGCTCTTTTTTCCCATCAATACTCTTCCATATTTTCTTCCTTGACAGGCACTCCTCACTCATGGATCCCTTGAAAAGCCTGTCCAGTGTCCTCTATCCTGGCTCCCTCAACAAGCCCTGGCTCAGACCTTGAGTCTTTTCCAGGGGCTGGCACACAGCAAAGGTAATTAAGGATGGGATTTAATGAGGAGGCAGGCCAGACTGCATGGATCAGGGCCAGGGCCCAGCCAGGTGATTGTCCTGCCCAAACACTTGCTGTCATGTCTGATCCCTCCAGCCTCCTTCCTTGTCATCTTCCCATACTGTTCCACCCTGATCCTTCCCTTCCTGTGTCTTTGGCCATTTCTGTAAACATCCTGTAGTAAGTTTGGTTCAGTCCCCCAAGCTCCCTCAAATACACATCTGATTTCACACTAACCATGTTTCCTACATCTTATCAGTTACAATATTGAGGCAGATCCTCTCCAAATCCAGAGTATCTCCTTTAACGGCTCATCAGTCAGTGCCTGGCAAGCTCTGGCTTCCCTTCTCCAATCACCTGCTCAATAATGGTTGTGTGTTTGTGTGTTTAAATCACTGTTTGTTATTTCTGAGATACGGAATAACCGGACCATTTACGGAAGCAGATGCTCTCCAGTTTCACACGTGCTGTGGCAGGCTCCCGAGGCAGGCGCTTGGCCGCGCTTTGAGGGATGATGCAGAGGCACCTACGCACTGGAGCCCCGCGGTGCTGCCGCTGCTGCACGGGGCCTGGCAGGCGGCGGCTCTAGGAGAGAGAAACAGGAAGGGCATGCCTAGAAGGAGGAGAGGGAAGGGGAAGGGAGGGAAGAAGGGAAAGAAAGGGTTCAGGAAAGGACGAGCAGGTTAAAGAGTCAAGCACGCAGATGCATCAGCATTTTGCCAGCAATCTCGTACTCGCTGAAACCTCCCCTGCTGGCAGCTCTTGGGTTGGAGAAGTAGGATGTGGTCCCAGCTCCTCACTGCAGATATTCCTCCTGCCTTGGCAGGAGCACCCAAATACCTCATCCAAGGGGGAGCTATCCTGCTCGTGGATAAACTGCTGCCAGCTGCTTGGGGAATGGAGCAAAAAGCAGGGGGACTGGATCTATGGGAGGCTCTTCACGTTTGTCTGGAGTGTCTATAGGATGTCTGCTGTGCCGTCCTGGGAGCATCCTTGTGCCAAGTACACGATGTTCCAGCCAGGGCTGGGATGTGAGCAAGGAGGAGCCAGCAGGTGGGCTGTGGGTGCGAGGAGATAAGTGCTAGGATGCTGTGCCTGGAGAGATGGGCTGGAGCCAGGCACATGTGACACAGAGATGTGTTGGGCAGTGTTTCTGGAGCAAAGAGCCTGGTGTCCCTGCAGATCAGCTTCCTTCCGTGACTCTGGTTTCCTGAAGCTACAGACAGTGGAGCTCTAGCCCTGTGGTGGTTATAACCTGCCAACTCCTATCCTAAACTCCTATCCTAACCTCCTAACATGCCCATCTTGTTCAGAAGGAACTTGAGTCACAATCCAGAAGGACCCTTTTTTCCTCCACCGGACCCTTCAAAAAGGAGGAGGTATGTGTACCAGAGCTGAAAGATCACTATTTGGAGGAGATGCTAATTAAAAACATGAAATATCTCTTTGATAGCCTGTCACTCACAACTTTGGTCTCAGCAAATGAGAAAGACTACTACACTTGCAACTACAGAGATTTATTTTAAAAATCAATGGATTCATATTTTGTCAGACCAGAGCAGTATTTCAACAGAGAAGAGGTATAGGTAGATAGATGACAGATCTGAAGGATGAGTTCAGACGAGGTGTTTAGAAGAGATTTTCATTGCCACAGAATGCATGTTGCAAACACTGTTGCATGTTGCATTGAGAATGCAAAGCAACAGAAACAGAAGAAATATAAAACTCAATTATATTATATACACTAAGGAGACATTAAAATATCACTGGGAATCTTAACTTAGGAATAGCTTCCCTGTTATTTGCAATATTACCATTTATGTCCATCAGATGGGAAAAACATCACACCAGATGTTCATAATTCCTGCTTTACTACATAAGAACAAGGTAGTAGGATTCATCTATACCAGATGAAATAATTTACCATCTGTAGCTGAGGAAGATGGGAAACATCACCTTCTAAATACAAATACTTTAAGTTCAGAAGTCTGGGGTCATGCACACTTCCATTCTTAAGACCAGTAGCTCAGTACTCTCATTTCTCTAATTTTAGATCTTAACAAGGTTTGGAAAATGAGATGCCAGAGGACTGATGGAGAGTCAACATGAACCAGTGCTTAAAAGGGAATACTAGACTGGATAAACATACTCTAATCAGAGATAAATTAATGAAGTGGTTACACTGGGACTCTGTCAATTGAGATTAATAAGTATTTTCCACTGTGCTTCACTGATCAGACACATCTTGTCTGATACAGACAAGGTGGATACAGAGATGCAAGACACATACAGAGCAGGCAGAGGTTTTGTTTCTGGGACATTATTTTACTGCCTGAGGACTAACACACTTTCCAAACACTGTCATCAGTCTCAGCCCAGAGTTACCTGACTATAAGCAGGACTTGTGCTGTGTGAGACCCTGAGAAGAGAGATCACACCTCTCGCTTGGGATGGAGCCCTCTGCCCTCAGACTCTGTGAAATCTATAAGCTTTAGTAAGATAACAGCTCCCTGGTGCAAATAGGATTTGCAGGACTTGCTTTTCAATTCAGAGGCTGTAGCCACTGCAGGTTTTGAATTGCACATGCCCATGGAGAAGAAAAAAACTGCGGTTGGGGCAGTGCCAGCTGGAAACATTTCAGCACAAGAGGCAGCAGCCTGGATTTCAGGCAGATGTTTTAGTCAGCCTCTGGCTAGTCATTGTTTAATGGAACATCGAGTTTTGGGAAGAAAAGCTCCTTCTCCTGGATGTGTTTGGCTGCCAGATAGCCTTGAGGTGGCTTGGGAAGATGGATGAGGCACACAGACCCTCGCTGCTGGTGGGATGACCTCTCAGAGCATGCTTGCTGTGGGCAAAGAAGGTTTTTCATCTCACCTCTCTGTAGAGAGAATCACAAAACCCTGCATTTCAAGGCTGTAGTAGTGCCAAAGGGGAGCATATGCACATACTAAGGAAGGACAAATAGGTGCATAATTTTCTTTTCTGCTCATCCCACTGTGGAAAGCTTAAATGACAAGATGGAAATCCTGCAAAATCAGGAGGTGGTACTGCTGCTCTATGTCCTTTTGCTATTCAAAGTAGCTTTTTTCTTGCTGAATATAAGTACCAATGCAGATTTCCCTGTGATGTTCCTGCCACCCTTGGTGGGGTAATGTCTCACTTGCAGATGCAGCAGATGAAGGGACTGTTTTGCTGTTTAGCTGGTGTGTAACAACCAGTGTCACACTGAGCTCTATCCTCTGCTCTTCAAAGGGGTAATTTGAAGCAGCCCCACAGCTGCTGCCCCACTTAATGTCTGCCACCAGCTCAGAGGAGCAGTTGGTAAACAGCTTATACATCTATCAGAAGCCCAGGAGGGAAATTTGCCTTGTATATCCATACACATGTATATATTAATGAAATGTTTATCTTTTTGGAGATATTTTTTCTCAAAAATAAAAAATATTGAGGAATTATTTTTTTCTCTAAATCGAATGCTGACTCTCTGCTGAGATTTTGGAGCATGAAGGAGTAGATGGGAAAGCTTCTGCAATTCATTAAGATAACATAAAAGAGGGAGAATCCACATTCCTCATAAAACACAAATGCTGAAAAATCCACAGGAGAATGAAGATTATAATGAATAATTCAGACAATACATCCTTGAATGAGAATGTTTCAGCTTCCTCATTTGCTCAGTCTCTCATCTGATCTCCAAGAGCTAAACATAAATGTGGAAAAAGTGAAATAAAATAGTTTTTCAGAACTACTGAAGCCCTCTGCCTGCATTCTGGAGCTTGGAGGGACACCAAGGGCTGAGGTTTGCACAGGATCTGTGTGCTTGTGCCTCCCTCTGCTGACTGCTTCCCCAGACGTCTCCCTCCCTGGCTGCAAATCATAAAAGGTTGTTTTTCCCTTCCTGTTGGGCTCATGTTCCTCCCCATGTCCCAGGCAATGACAGCAAAGTCTGGGGAGCTGTTGGGTACAGGCTGCTCACACCAGCCCCAGGCCCGCGGTGCCAATGGGTGTCACCCCAGCAGCCCTGTGCTCCCTTTGTGGCACCTGCCCCATGGGTCCCAGTGCCACTCAGGTTCTCCATTAACTCTAAATGAAAGCATCCTTGGTTAGGGGAAAAACTGAAAGCAGTAAGGCAGAGACTCAAGGAAAGTTACCATAAACTGAGACAAGCAGGCAGAGACCTTTGGCTACATCACTAGGTTATACCTGGGGTAAATACTTCACTGAGTTTTGATTTTGCCTTTTTTTGTGGTTTTGTTTGTTTGTTTTTGTTTTGGGGTGGTGTTGTTTGTTTGTTTAGGTTTGGTGGTTTTTTGTTTGGTTTGGTTTTGGTTTTGTTTCTTTTAAAGTTAGAATATGTCTGTAACACCTCTTGGTACCAGTTTTAAAATCTTTTGGTCCTTACAGGCAGCTACTAAGTAAAACTGACTGTGGGAACTGCAAAACTTAAAGATTTTGGATTCTCTTCTCCTCTTACACACTCTATAGAAACTTCCTGTCCTCTCAGCAGAACATGTGCCCCCAGCAAAAGCAAGAAATGCACAATCTCACCATGGCAGAATTAACTGAAAATCAGGCCCCTTGCTCTGTGGGGAGGACCATGCTGGCTGTGCCTTGATGATCTGCCAGAGTTGGGTGACCCTTTCTGTAGAGGGAGTCAAGCCCAACTCTTCTGGGATGATTGAGAGGGATCTCAGTGTTGTAAATGTCCATTTATTCCTCTTCCAGAGTATTTCCTCAGGTTGGGGGCTGACAGTGATGAGACTAAAGTCTATTCTAACAAACCAAGTTTGTTAGTCAGGTTTCCTTTGGACTTGAAAACACAGATGAAAACAGCTCCTGCATGCCCCAGGAGTTTTGTGTTGTGGAAGCTTTGTTAGAAAGCTGCTGAGGAAACTGCTATCCTTTCAAAGTAAAGTGTGCCAACTAGAATAGCCCCACAACCATGGTGCTGGGAGCTGAGGGCTGATTTAATAGTGCAAAAACCAATTACCAGGCTGTAATCAGTAATGGCTGTGTCGGGAAGCTGAAATCGCTACGGGGAAGGAGCCAGGACAGCAGGGTCTGGTCTTGCTGGAGCTGACACTAAGATAAATGGCAGCAGAAAACCCCTGCTACCAAAGAGTTATGGAATAAATTGATGCACTAGAAGCCCCAGCACATTAGATCACTAGAAAGGACACACAGAGCATCAGGGAGCCACGTCAGTGAGGGGCTGAAGGCAGCACTGCCTGCCCAGATGAGTTACTGGCCTCCATCCTGGGACTCCAACAGCCAGCTGGTGAGTTACAGAGGCAGCAGCATCAGTGACAGTGATATATAATTAGCCTTGGGATATATTGAAATTTTCATATATGTGCTGAATTAAACCTTCACCCAGAGTGCAGAGAAAAACACATTATGACTTCTAATATAAATAAAATATTAGACAGGAGAAAGCATATAGTCTTTTATAGTCTATGGTGCTGATGTTCTGAAGAGACTCCAAAGCTCTCTGCAATTTATGGGCCAAATCTATTTCTAGGAAGTAATGCCAGGAATATTTTTGAGGAAGGAAAGCTAAAGCTCAGCATGTAAACCTTGTAACTGCTATAAAAGATGCAGCCAACTGTAATAAATGTAAAGCACACTAAATAAGACCAAGGGAGTTGTGTCCAACCTGAGCAGTACAAATCTTTCCAATGTTAAACCATCCAAGATTTCCTTTGATATTACTTCCTCCATTAAAAAGCAATTTGTTTTTTATTTCAGACCTGAGAAGCATAGGTACTTTTCACTGAAGACTGATACACTTTGAATTGTAGAAAGAAGTGAATTTGTTTGGTCTGTTAGATTAGTGGCTCAATCAGACTCTCACTCATCAGATTAGAGCTGCTGTCCACTAAGTGATCACATTACCCAGGAAGCACTTTGATGCACAAGTGAGTGGTCCAGGTGGGAGAGATACAGGTTGGTTAAGTGTAGAAGACATGTAGCACTTAAAAAACAAGATACTATAACAAAGCGTGGGCTGAGAAACAAGTAACTCCCCCCTTCCAATATTCCCTGATTATTGATTAATTGATTATTATGCACAAGTACCAATTTGTGGTTTTCAGCAAGTGTTGACTGTGTTTTGCATTTGTTCTCAGTTATTCAGCAGATGTTATGTCCCTTTGTCCCTCCGAGCCATAACTCCAAGTACAACAAGTATCACTCCATTTATAACAAGTATAAATGCAGTACATGACACAGGGCACTCCCATAGTCACCCCCCTCCAGCGCTGCCATGCCCCACCCAGACCCCACAGCCCCCTCAATATTTAATCTGGGCACAGCCAGAGCCTGCTCGGGAATATAATTAATACACAACTACTGAAAAATGAGCACAGAACCAACTGTTCAGTAGGTCAAGAGCACTCGTGTGTCAGGAAGCCACATCCTTCACACCAAGTGGCTCAAGAGGGCATGAAGAGTCTCTCCAGTGAGTCCTGGAGACCCTTCTCCCCTGTGCTTACCCTGGGAACCACTGCTGGAGGCTTACAGGAGGCCTTTGTGCCTTCCCACCCAGCACTTCAGCTCAGGACACACTCCAGCTCCTGGGAGCTGTGATCATTTCCAGCCTCACTTGAATTCAACACTTGCCACCTTTGAAGCGGCGGCGCTTTGGTCTCGGGGCTGTTGAGCGAGGCCAGAGCAGGAGTGCCCGGCGTGCTCCAGCGCTGTGTGCACAGCACCGCCCCGGGACAAGCGGCCCCAGGGCCCCAGGGCAAGCACTTAGACCTGAAATGACAAATGTTTCGCAAGAGAAGCGCTGATTTCACTGGGCTCTTGCTCAAGAGCCGGGAGCTCCCCCGAGCCCTGACCAGTGGCCTGCAGGAGGACCTTGGTGACAGAAACTGGAGCCACCAAAAGAACCACTGCTCTGGCGGCTCATATCTGCAGCTGGTGTTCTTCTTTCTGATCTTTTCACCGACAGACCTGGCCTATCAATCTTTTCTATCCAGCAAGAAGGAAATGGCCATGCTATTTCTCCTAAATTCCAGTGGTATTTAGGGGAGTTTGTCTCTCAGGGCAAAAAGTCCTCTGGAGAGGTGCATAGCAGGGAGAGCAGGGTCAGGGAGAAAACACAAAGCTCATTTGAACAAATAACTTACAATCTGTCCTGGAAGCTGCAACATTTAGTGCATCTCATCTTCATCCTAAAATGCACTTGGAGAAAGGTTGCATCCATTATGGTCTGGGGGGCGTCCAACAGGAAAGCTATATTTCTGAGACTAAGTCATGTAAATAGAAAAAATGAAATTAATTAAAAAGGAAAAAAAAACCCAAACCAATAGAAATTAGTTTAAATAAAAAATAAGTAAAATGTATCTAAAAAGACAATTAGAAAATTAAAATAAATAAAAATAAAATTTAAAATAACAACAAAATGAATGCCCCCTGGCTTTCTCACATGTAAACACATCATTAGCTCCAAAGCAGCAGCAGCAGCAGCAACAGTACACGGGATAACTTTGGCTAAGGAATGTATACAGCAAAAGTGTTTTACTGTTACCAATCATATCTCCAGGAATAATCCTCTCTTTTACCTAGTTTAGGTGGGTAACTCAGGAAGAGCACTGGAGAGTTCATTTTTCAGCTCTAGCAGGATCAGATGTTTATAAATAAATAAATAAGCCCCCTCCCTCCCAAACTGAAGTAAAATAAAGTAAAATAAAATAAATTACAAAACAAGAAAAATACAACAGCTATAAAATAAAGGTTAGGTTGGATATCAGGAGAAGGTTTTACACACAGAGGGTGGCTGGGCACTGGAACAGGCTCAGCACTGAGCCTGACAGAGCTCACGAAGGGTCTGGACAATGCTCTCGGGCACAGGGTGAGGTTTGTGGGGTGTCCTGTGCAGGGCCAGGAGTTGGGCTGATGTTACTTTTGGGTCCCTTCCAACTCAGGATATTCTGCTTCTCCGATTCTACGAGAGTAAAACACAATACAGGAAAACAAAAGAAAAGAAAATAAAACCTATAATAAAGAAAATCAAATCGAATCAAAACAGGGTAATTTCTCCAAGCTGCATACCATCATCCCTAATGAGATTTGCTCAAATACCACAACTTTGTTGAGCAACAAATCGGCGCAGCCAGCGGCGGCGCGCTGGCCCCGCCCCTCCCCGCGCAGGCCGGGCTGGCGGCTCCGCAGCCGCGCAGGTCCCGCGGGGCCGGTCCCGGTGCCGGTCCCGGTGCGGGTCCCGGTCCCGGTCCCGGTCCCGGTGCCGGTGCCGGTCCCGGTGCGGGTCCCGGTCCGGGTCCCGGTGCCGGTGCGGGTCCCGGTCCCGGTCCGGGTCCCGGTGCCGGTCCCGGTCCCGGTGCGGGTCCCGGCGGCGCCGCCCGCGGGCGCGGAGCGGGCGCGCAGGGGCGGGCGCGGGGGGAGGCGCAGGATGAGCGGGCGCCCCCCCGCGGCCGGCGGCGCAGCGGCCCCGCGCCATGGAGGGGTTCCCCGCCCGCGGGTACGGCACCGGCGGCGCGGACAACCGGCCGCTCTTCGGGGAGACCTCGGCCAGGGTAAGGACGGCGCTCCGCCGCGCCGGCGGCACCCCTCCCCTCAACAACCCCCGCCGAGGCGAACCGCAAATGCAGAGGAAAGTCCCGTAGTGCCCCCCCTCCCCGCCCTCCCGGCGTAAATGCCCCCCGGTGGTGAGGAAGCTCCTCCCGGCCACCCCGGAGAGCGGCAGCTGCCGCCCGCTGCCCCCGGGCTCGGCACGGAGCGCCGCAGGCAGCCGAGCGGCCGGCCCGAGCCGGGAACCTGCCCGAATCATGCAAACAAATTTAAAAATCCCTATGAAATAAGAATCCTCAGTCCGCCTCTAAAACGGCATCAAAAATCAGAAAGGCTGCACCCCAATGAAAAAATATACAAGGAGACCCCCAAATTCCAAAAGAAGGAAAAGCTTGAATTTGGTGTAATTATTTANTGAAATAAAAGAAAAAAACAATCTCCCGATTAGCGCCCCAGACCAACAATATTCCATCAAAATAATCCCAAACACCGCGCCAAATTTTAGAAAAAGCAAACCATATCCCCAGAGCTAAACCCGCCCAGCAAGACCCCCTCCCCAAATAAAAAACTCACAGAACATTCCCCCTCCCCTTCCCCCCAAGGAAATCAACTTTCAAATAATCCTCTCCAAGCCAACACCCCCCCGAACTCGATCGGGAACTTGGGGTCCCGGGTTCCGGGGACCCTCGGAGCGGGGCCGGGAAGGGGTTTGGGCAGGGGGTCACGGAGCCGCTGTGCCCACCCGGGTGTGCCCTGCGGCCCGGCCGGGCTCTGGGGCTGCAGCACCCCAGGCTGCCTCTCACCCAGTCTGGGGGTCTTTGCTGGGGATGGGGAGGCTGCTTTTCTGGGAACTGAGTTTTCTCCCGAGGAGCTGGCGGTGGCTCCCGGCGGACTGTGGCAGCAGCGGCTCCTCAGGTGTCAATCCCCGTAAGCCGCTCGGCTCTCGGCGCTGCAGCGGGGCTGTGCCGGGGAGGGGGCTCCGGGGCATCCCTCGGGAACCACGGTACCGGAGGTGTCACATCGTCGGGCTGGGACTCGGGGTTGTCCCCTGTTCGGAGGGGTTACCCACTTTCGTGTGTGTTTGGGGGTGCAGGCTGAAACTGCCTGAGATTATTCGGAAGTGTATCCAGTCCATCACCGCCCTCCCTGCAAGAACTTGGAATTACTGCTACAATTATAATGTTTAATGAAAACAAAGTAATACCAACCGGATTTTCGGGGAAAATTAAAATGATGAGGCATAGGAGGACGGGCGGGACCCCAAGAAGATGAACTGAGGGTGGGACAGGTATCCCCGCTCACCCCCGCTGGCCCTGTTGGGGAGCACTGGAGGCAGGGGTACCTTTGTTGGAGCAGCGCCCTGCACTTGGGTCCTGCTGGACGGTCTTTTTTTTGGGAAGCTCCCAGCGATGGGCACTTCTCTGGGATGTGCCATCGGAGCAGGCAGACAGTCCTGGCAGGTAACTCCCAAACTTTTTAGCCCAGGTTAAGCCTTTGATTCCTGATCCCTGTCTTTTGCCAGCTCCGCCTCTGCTCGCAAAGGTGAGCAGGAAATAATAAAGGTGGGACGCTAATTTCAGTTCCTGGGCTCTAACGGGGATCCAGCGTCCTGCACTTCACCCCCCGCCTGTCTCCTGTGGCTTTTTGGAACCTGTCATATGGGGCGAGCAGCAGCCGGTGGTGTCTCGCTGCTGAGCCCGTGTCCGACAGACAAGGGAGCTCTGTGCTGGCCAGGGGTCGTTTCCTCCCGGATTCACCGGGGTTGCTTAGGAACAGACGCTGGTGAGGTCCCGAGCTGGAACGTTCCGTGTCAGAAATGGAAAAACTAAACTTTGCCTTTAAATGGGAGCAGGTCTGCCGGGAGAAGTGCGTCTGCTCACGCCCCAGCTCTGCTTTTGGGTCTCTGCAAATGACGGCTGATATTGGCAAACCGGGATACTCTGCTCGGGCTAGGGCCACAGGGAAGGGCAGGGGCAGTGCTTGTGCCCCAGGAAACCCTACACCCAAAATTAGGGGTCTGCCACTCTTGCCAGCAATTGGAAATGGATGTAGAGATGGGGACTCCCTGCCTTCCTGCACTCTCTTGCTCTCCAGGCTGGTGACTCGGAGGGTAAAGCCACTCTGTGGGGGTGGCAGAGCTAGGCAGCAGCACCCACCTCCTTGCCCTGCCAGGAGGTCCTTGTGGACCTGGTGGCCCAGCTGCTCCTGCCATGCTTGCTCTCCGTGCCACTGCTGAGCAGGGACTGGGGCAAGGTGGTGCCAAAGGAGTGGCTGGTGGAAGGGGGGTGCAGCAGCGGCGCCGATGAATGCCGGGCGCTGTGGATTCAGCCGTGGTTTCCAGGGATGCAGCCCTGGCAGTGAATGGGGATGAGACAATTCAGAGGCACAGCTGCACAGTGGCAAAGAGGGGACAGAGTGTCACAGGTGCAGCACTTTGCAGGAAAGAGGTTGAAAGTTGGGTTCCTCCATGGTGGGCGTGTTTGAGTGGGTGGGAGTTAATTGCTGTGGGTCAGAAGCAGAAAGCAATAGAGAAACTGAGCACCTTGGGATGGGAATGATGAGCTTTTAAGGGCACACCAGGAAGTCCCCATGTCTTGCAGAGGGTGGGTGTCCAGCTTGGCCCTGAGCACTGCCTGTATTGGCTGCAATTCCGCCAGGCTGGGTCTGGCACTGCATTCAGGTATCCCCTACGGCTGCAGCGGGCTGCAATGGCTGCTGACCATCTGGACTTGCTGATGTAAGGCATAAAAATGGCCTTTCTGTCACTCCTGCGGAGATGACACCAGGTACCCACGTCCAGGGGACCTGCCCGTTCCCTTCTCCTGGCCAAGCCTCTGCAGGGATCCCTGTGGGCTCAGCCCACAAGCTGCTAACTTGGAGGATTCAAGGATGGAAGGTGCTGAGCTGGAATGGGGTGAAGAGCAAAGCTGCCACTCTGTCAAAGCCTGTGGAGGGAGTGCAGATACAGTATCAGTCCAGCCTCAGTTTCCCTGCTGCTCCAAGTAACCTTGACCAGATCCTAAAGAATCCTGGATTGTGCCCTCCTGCTTTGCAAGGACTTGACACTTCCTGACCTTACGTCCCTTTCCCAGAGGCAGATGGAGGGAGACCTCTGCACTGCAGAGGCTCCCTGGGAGAAGTCTGATGCTTCCAGCCCCTGCAATACCCTCCCCAGAGTGGAAGGACAGGGCAGAAACCCTCCTGTTTCAAAATGCATCTTGTGCAACAGTGAAACATGGAATTCATCTCCTGTCTGGCCAACAGCTCACTACATCTCAGCAGCTGGCTGGCTGAAGGGGGACCCCATGGAGGCACTGCTGGGCTGTATCAGAAGTTGCTGTGTGTGTGCCAGTGCCCTGTGCTGGCCCAGGTGACCTCGGGCGGCTGCAGGCTGCTTTCATGTGCTCACTGGGGTTTTTTGTCTTTTTACTCTAGCAGCTATTACTGTACATAGTGATGCTGGAGAAAAATCCTTCCTGAATCAGCTGTGCTGTGCCAGCTGGGTGACATGTGGGACACAAGGCTCACCACAGCCAGTTTCTGCATGCCCAGTGTCCTCGGGCACAGCGTGGAGGTGAAAGGCTCCGTCATCCCCAATCCCTTTAGCCGTCTTGGCCTCTGCTTGAGTATTTTTAACCTTTTTGCTGTGCTAAGCTGCCTGGGGCTGAAGTGTCAGTGGGCACTGGGGAATACAGCCTCTCACTGCTTCGCCAAGCCCGGGATTTCAGGATCAGTGTCTAATCCCTGGATCCTGAAATACCTTCTTCTGCCAGCAGTGCACTTTGAAAATTTGAGTGCCCACAGGTTCAAGCACAGGGAGGGGGCTGCCTTGGCCTGGGTGCCACCTGCTCCACTGCTGGCATCTGAACCTGCCCTGGCTGTCACTAGCAGGTCCCTCAGTCAGCAGTGTGAGGTGAAAGCTCCGTGTGCTGGGGGATGCTCTCTCCCACACTGACACAGTCAGGAGAGAAATGCTCCATGGTCACTGTCAAGTCTGACCCCCTTGTTTCCTCCTGCCAGCCCAGCCTGTCCTGGCACAGTGGGTCTGTAGTTAATGAGGAGCAGTCATGGCTGAGTCTCTGGATGGTGACTGACTGTGCCCATCCCTCTGAGCTCTCTACAGAGCTGGCTGTACCTCTGTGCTCACCAGCTGAGCTCTGCAGGTTGGTGACCCACTGCTAGTTCTGCAGCTGGCTCCTGGCATTCCCTGGATCTGTGCTGTTGAAAGCCCATCTCCTCATGGCACAAGGGATCCAGTTGCTCACCTCTTGCCACCCTGAATGGAGGAGCCGAGCCTGAATGCCAACTCTGATCCTCCTTTATAACACTGCCTTGGTGGGCTCAGCCAGGTCTGCAGGGCAGAGCAAAACTGCCATCCTCCCCTGGCACTGGAGTGGCTTTTGTGGTAAGGACCCTTCCATGTCCTGCCTAAAGTTAGCTTTGAGTTCTTTAATTGATTTTAGGTGAGGAGGAGGAGTCCAGCTGAGCTGTCATGATATGAGCTGTCATGATATGCTCTCATGGAGCATTTCATGCTTGCATTTTTCAAGTTGCTTTTCTTGTTTGCCTGGAGTTATTTCTCTTGGTTCTATTTTGGGGTCAGTGGTGGGTTTCTTGTATCTCATGGCTCTCAGAGGCTGCTGGCACATCACCAACTCCGTGTGTGGAAATGCTGCTGAGGAGAAGGGCTTTGTGCCTGGCTGGTGAGGACCTTGCACAGGGGATATTGGCGACAATTTCCTATGGAGGGGGGGTCACTTCCCACTGCTGCAGCCACTGCTGTTCCCCCACAGGCTGGGGCCTCTGAGCTGCAGGAGCATCAGTGGTCTTGTTTTACAAAGAGGAGCTGGGGACTAAGAGAAGAGGTTTTGGAGTCTGCTTGCTGTGGCCCTATCCCCTGGGGATGAACACAACCAGGCCACAGCATCCACCTGTTCCTGAGCCACCTCAAGGTGAGCTCCACAGCCTTAGGTCAGGGCTGGTGCTGTCCCACAAAAACATGATTTGCTGCTCTCTGCCTCCTCTTTGCTTTTTTCTAGTGCCCTGCTGCTGTCATGTGTTACTTCTTGATGACCTGGGACTTCTCCCTCTACAAATCCAAATTCTAGGAGGGAAGAACTGTGCAAGAGCAGGTGGAGGGAAGCCCGTGTTGCCCTGCCTGCTGGCCGGGAGGTCTTGGGCAAAATGCTGTCACTGCTCAAACTCTTTTCTCACTTTCACCATACCTTCTTAATGACTCTCAGTACACTTAATCTCTAAGTCGGGGGTGTTTTCTCTCTGCACATTTTTTCTGCTGTAGCAGTTGTTTTAGCCTTTGATTTGAGTTGTCAGCCATCTGGGGTGTCACACCTGGCTGTGTGCAGCCCAGTGTGACTGTGGTGATGCATGTTTATACTCAGAGCAGCACCAGGGAGGAGGCAGTGCGCTGGCAGGGGTTGGAATATTCTCCTTTTGTTTTTACTCCAGAAGGTTCATCAATACAGGGTTTTGCTGTGGGTGCTCCTCTGAGCCTGTGGTCACACAGCCCAGTGTCACAGCCAGTCCCTGCCCTGATGCCACTGGGGTGGGACTGCAATGCTGTCACTGAGGGGTCTTTCTGCCCAGGGACAAAAAGGTTGTGTCCTTCCAGTTGTTTCATACTGATCAGGAGCAGCAGATATCTGTCTGTCCAAGCAGAGCCACTGTTTAGCATCTTCAGATCTGCTGGTGATAGGGTGGAGCATTTGGGCTGCAGGCAACGCTTCACCTCCTTGCCAGCAACCCACAAATTCCCACCTAAGACTCTATCAATCTATTAATTCTCAGGCAGGGAGGCTAAAAAAAACCTTTTTCTGACAACCTCCATCTGTGCACTCCCACTTTAAAAAAAAGATTTAAATACAATTTGCACAACTGTAATCAATTTAGATGTAGCAGAGAAGTCATTTGCAAATGAGCAAACCTGCTGCAAAAGGCCTTGACCAGTACAACTCCCAGGGGTCTGTGGAGGGAGGGGAAACCTTCCCGTGTGGCAGAGCTGACCAGGGAGCCTTGATGGTGTGCTGGCAATAATGTGGATTCTGGCTGATGCTCTCAGTGTTGTTGGTTAATGCTCTGTTTTATATGGTTTGGGTTTTTTTTTTGCTGTTGGTTTTTTAGGTACACATAACACTCTTCTCTTCTCTTCAGGACAGAATCATCAATCTAGTTGTTGGTGGCTTAACGACCTTGCTGCTTGTAGTAAGTATCTCCCATCCTACCCCATGTTGCATCTTTAAGTGTCAGGGAGAAAACCAGAATTCCTCCCCAAAAATGGGTGGTGAAGCTTCCAATGACCAAAGAGGCTCTGATTTAGGGCAGGCAGTCATTTTGGGACGTATCTGTCTTTTGAAACTCTTTGACAACAGGAGAAGGGGAATCTCTTTCTTTAAGAGCTGCAATAAAATCCTTGAAGTTCTCTGGCAGATTGTCCATCCTGGCTGAACGTGAGGCTGGGTGAGACAACAAAGCATTTATGTGCCAGGAGAGCGTGTTTGCTTCTATTTCCTTCTATTTATGACTCATTGTCCTCTATTTATGGCTTATACAAGTCTTCCCAAAGTTTGTCCCTTGTGTTGAGCTGTGCTTTCCCTGAGCTTTAAAGACAAACCCGATGCTGTTGTGACTGGAGACTGTTGGAGAGCTGAGGTGGAGGGAGGCTGTGGGGACAGGTGAGGTGCAGCTGCTGGAACACTTGGCTGAAGGGCTGCTCCTCCATGGGCAGCGTGCACCCCAGGGCCGATGGCTTCCTGGCTACTTGGAGGGTGTTTCTGGCAATAAGCCAGCGTGGCAAAGCTTTTGGCAGTTTTGTCCCCACTCCTCTCAGTGTGCAGCTCTATCAAAGCAGTTTTCCTCCAGACTTGCACATTTTCCTCCAGCTCCTCAGGGGTGGGAGTCAGAGGCCAGGGAGGGGTGTGCAGATCAGGCTGTGCTGCTCCAGCCCTTGGGCTGAGCCTCTTCTCACTGCAGCTCTGGCCAGACTGAAATCATCTTTGTTTTCCTCCATACAGGTCACTCTAATCAGTGCTTTTGTCTTCCCGCAACTACCTCCAAAACCTGTGAATGTATTTTTTGCTTTCTGCATCTCCTTGTGTTGCATTTCTGCTGGCATTCTTGTAAGTACTGCCATGTTTGCCATGCTTTTGAGTCAATGGCTCTGAATAAAATCTGCTTTACGTGGTGCTGCCTTCTCTTTTTACACTCTCCTAGAAAAGCTTTCCTGCCTCCACAACACAAGCTGACAATGAGGGAGTGGTAGTGAGTTTTGTATTTACTGCAGAGTAAGTGTGTGAACTGAGCCAACTCCTGCAGCCCAGCTGTGGTGCAAGACTTGTGACCTCTGTGGCACTGCCACCCACAGCTGCCAGTGGAGACACAGAGTAGGAAACCAGGGAGCAGAGCACTGAAATGGGAATGCAGAGATGGACTGTGCTGCAGGAGACACCTGAAGTGGGATCAGCCATGCACTTGCACCTTTCAAACACAGGGGATGAGTTACAGGGGTAGGAAGCTACAGCAAATGGAAGATGTTCCTCTACTCAACAACTGCAGAATTCCAAGGGAGCTGGTCCCAAGCAAAGGGAACTGGCAGGTGTGAGTTCACAGAATCACAGAAATGTTTGGGTTGGAAGGGGCTGTCAAAGACCATCTAGTCCAAACCTCCTTCGATGGGGAGGCACATTGATGGCTCCTTCTTCTGCTGTAGCTTTTTCATACTTGGAGCATTCTCCTTCTTCCAGCTGTGACCCGGAGCAGCCCTGAACCCCTCACTGCTGGCTGTGCTGGGAAGTTGCTCTCTATTGCCTGGTCAGTCCCAGTTTTTGATCCTACAGCTGCTGGCCACGACTCTGCCCAGAACAGACTGTGTTAGTGCAAGGCTGATGTTTGTCCTCATCCACCAGGGTGTAGCCAGCTTTGAGAGGTAAAACACCTCCAGCTAAGCTACCCGCTCTCCCTCCCTCTCAGCAAAGCTGACCAGACAGTGCCTGTCCTCAGGGCCAGTTTCACATACAGACACACACTCAGTCCCTCTGGCCAGAGGAAGTTGGATTGTTTTACAGGAAGAAAAAACACCCAAAACTAAACCTGCAAGTTGCCAATTCAGTTAGCAAATGAAGTTTCCTCAGAATACCTGGCTTTTTGAAATAACACAAACTCCTTTTCTCTTCTAGATCTACTGGTATCGACAAGGAGACCTGGAACCCAAATTTAGAAATCTAATTTACTACATATTGTTTTCTATTGTCATGTTATGTATATGTGCCAACCTGTACTTCCATGAAGTGGGTAAATGAAGGACATTGGGAATACCCAGCAATGATGCTGCTGTGTCAGACTGCTTCCAGCTCAGCTCTCAACTCTACTCAAGACATTGAAGTGAGAACCATCAGCCTGAGAGGAAAGAAGTGGGTTGTGCAAGGATAAATCAGTACATGATTTTCATGTAAATGTATATGTAATGTCCCTCTTGTTGGGGAAAATTATTGCCATAAGACGTGACATTCTGCTTTTTTTTGAAGAGCTACTGTTGCGCTTAATGAACATTCCAGTTGTACTGATGTTTCAGAATGGCACAAGCTTTTTCATTTTGGAAAAAAAATGCACTTTTTTTAATTACTGTACAAATAAACTGCAGCACTGAAAGGATCTGTGGCAGTATAAATAAATGGCATCTTACAGTCAAGTAAGACAAATACTCTTTATTTTGTTGAAACTGAATATACAATTATTTCTGTTCCCTAGGCAACCATTTAAAACTACAACTTATTTTTCACATTAACAAAACCACAGACTGAAAAAGACCAACTCTTGATTATGAAGAGCTAATTACAGAAATAAATAAAATAATTTATACAAGTCTTTAGTTTCTATAGCTTTTTCTCTTGTTTCCTAGCTAATAGGCTGCTGTTCAGCCTAGTGTCTGTTTCAAACAATGTAGGAATTAATTTGCCTCCTTTTCCTCGAGGCCCTGTGTCCAGACTCTCACAGAGCTATTCCTCCAAGACTTTGCCACCTTCACACCACTCCTCATTTACATACTTGCTGCAGAAATCAGGTCTGGAGAGGTGGCTGGTAGTGTCAGGTAAACAGCAACAGAGACAAACCCTCCAACCCACTCACAACCATCTCAAAGAAATTCCAAGCTTGTCGGGGGAGGCTGGTGGGTCCCAGTAGCCTCCCTTTCTCATAGCCCTTCCCTTTTTATTTATCTTGCTGTAGTGATGAGAGAATAGAAAAAAAAACAACAAAACAAGAAAAAATTTTCCACAAGTGATCTCTTCTGAGCTCTGTCCATTGCCAGCAATGGACTCCTCAGGAACAAGCAGACCAGGCAAGTCCCATAAGCTTCTGCCTTCTTCCTATGCCACAGACATATGAACGAGTCAGGTGAGATGGGAATACACACCACTGCTTCACGATGCTGCCCATGCTCCCTGAAGTCTTTGATGGAACTTACTCCTTCCAGAAATGTAACAGTTTCTTACTCCATGTATTACAAGAGTCAGTAAGTGCAAAAATCCTCACCCATTCTTCATGAAACCTGTGCAAACTACTACTTGCTGCGGCACTAAGAGGCTACAGTCCACAATCCTTGACTTCTGTCCAGTTTGCCACGTGTGCAGTTCAGCACATCAGTAACAAGTCAGATCAGAACTGACTGGATGATCTGAGCGCTGTGAGCACTGCAACAGAGGCTCTTCAGCACGCTGGAACACCCCAGTGAGATGTGGCACCTCAGGGCTTGGCTGGCAGCTCAGTTCTCCCTCCTGGATGAGGGAAACAGCCTGAGCAGAGAAAGTGCACCGTAGTCATTTCACACTGGAAGCTTCTGTTCAAAGAGACAGAGTGTGACTGCTTTCTTTGGAAATGTGGCACAGGTTGTAACTAACTTCACAATGCAAACATGGTCAATAGAAAATGGACACCATTTCTGCTTCTCAGTGACAGCTCACTAAATCCTCAACATCCTTTGAATCTTCTGAGTCAGGACTGCCCAACGATGAGCCAATTATGTGTGACCCATCTCCGTGATGCTGTAGGATAGGATCTGGCAAGGGACAAAAAGCATTACAACTATTGCTGTGCCATTATAACAAGATATAAAATACAAACGCAGGAGACAGGAAATGTAGCCTGGAATTCTAAATAATTACAGGCAGTGTTGCTCAAACTAGGCAGTTTGCAATTTCTAGTTTCAAAGGAACATGGAATAGCTGGGGTTGGAAGTGACTTCTGGAGATCCTCTAGTCCAACACCTTGCTAAAGCTGGTGCAGCTAGAGCACGTTGTACAGGACCACATCCAGGTGGGTTTTGAGTATCTTTAGAGAAAGTAAGTGATGACCAAGATGGATGGATATGGATGCAAGGGTGTGACTCACATTTGCATCCATCAGGTATTCCACTATCAGTGCTGACCCTCTGAGGGCTCTACGGGGAGATCCTTCCTCTGGGGAGGAGTATTTGTTAGGTTACTTGAGTTTCACATATGTAACATTATTTAAGAGAAAGCAAGGGTCTATGAAGTGTTTTCTGCAGAGACTCAAAAGCTCTATACACTGCTTTAATGTCATACCTGTGAGAGTTGTCAAGGGCAAGACTGATTCACTATCTATATCATCTGTTGCCTGGATAAAACCATGGGAAGAAGGAACAATAAGCACAGTCTCATCATCTATTGTAGGCTGATCAACTTGTTCTTCTATTGTTGGGGAACCCAAGTCCTGCACAACACAGAACAGGCAATAAGAGTGTATTCATTGCAGCACAAACAAAAACCTGCATTGCTCAGCCAAACTTCACAGTAAGCAATACACTCTGAATGAATTTTATCTCATTAAACTGAATGTCACTATGTATTTCAACATTTACAGGGCATGTTTCATCTTAGAGCAGGTACTCAAAAACAAGATGAGAGGAATTTTACCCTGTTGAGTAAAGTGGAGAGGAAGGGAGACACTGCAAGGTGGTGATAAAATGCTCCCTTGCAAGTCAAATATTATATTCCTGTGAATAGGAATAATTAGGCTTTTCCACTACTTTCTGTCTAGATGTTCTGAGACTGAAGCATTACCTTTATAGCACTTACCTGTTCCACAAACCAAACAGCTTTACCTGAAGTTTCACAATTCCTGTTGTAAAATTTTAAGTGACACTGAACACAGAGCTCAAAAAACCCACCTAATTTGCTGTGCCTTGCTTGGTCTGTCACTGGCTGGAATCTGGCTCCAGAATTTTTTTGCTGAACCTAATGGTACCACAAGACTAGCAACACTGATTCCTTCCAGGTACAAGTTGTCAATACCCTCATTCTCTTCCAGCCCTGCCACTGCTGCTGCTCCTGCCTCTTCCCTGGCTCCTGTGGCACTCGAATGGTAGCAACACATCTGGCTGACTCAGTGTCACAGCACACTCCTGGTTCCACAAATGCAGTGAAAAGTCATCCCACACAGTACTGCCAGAACCAGCAGAGATATTTGGAGTCCAGTTTTTGTGTGTAACATGCTTAAGGATTGCGAATCCCTGATGTAGAATGCTAGCAACTGCTGCTGACACAATGGAAGGTACCTGGATTTGTCACTGTTTTCAGAGGTAACAGCCCTCTGTGTTTAAGAAAATCCTGATGTTCTTACACGTTGTTCTTTGTAGGAAAACTTATTTCCCCACGTAACTCCACAGTGTTTTTGCAAAGGCAGCTATCTGAAAATCCCTTCCTTGATGCTGCTGGAGAGGAGCTGACAGCTTGTGCTACAGCTCTGTGAATTGCACTTGGTCCCATCCACAAGGGCATAGTGTGCCTGACCTGCAGGAACAGCTCTCAGCAGAGCACACAGCTCTGCCCACCAGCAGCACTGGGCTGCAAAGCCTGAAACTGGGAAGAGGAGGCGTGAAAAACTAAAGGAGCCATTGTGGCAAATGGGCACCTTTCCCAGCCAGAAATAATAAAACCCTGCAGCATGACTGCCTGCCTCCCACTACCCACCCACAGTGACAATACAACCCTGGCAAGCTCATAAAAATAACACTGACTTGAAGAAAACAAAATTTAGGCATGTTTTTCTGGAGTAACTTTTCACTGAGAATTACTCACAGACAGTTCACTATTTCCTAGAATTTAAGTACACATGTCAAACTTGAATCTGACTTGACGGGTAAGGCAAATCAGAATTACAAATTCAGTTTGTTTTTCTGTGTAAAAAAAAAAAGATTACATTCTGCTAGCCATGAGCAATTTGTACAAAGTTATTGTAGGAACTAGGTTAATATCAAAAGTTTATTAAATCTATCTTGAGAAGCTGAAGTTTTAAAATAAGAATAGAAAGCTGATGGTCTGCCTCAAATGTTGAAAATCTTATCACAATTATGTCAACCATGATACAGAAAGAGGAAAATGGAAGAATAATCCCATCTTCTGATGTACTCGGGATTCAGATGCTTCCACAGTAGCAAACCTGAGATGTACAAAGATTCTCCCTTTTGTAAGAGCAGAACAGATATGCACTGTCTATTAGAAGCTTCTTTGAAGACAAGGCCAAAGCATATTAATGATGGATTTTTCAAGGCTGACAAAGCAGAAATGCAGCTACTGTAGAGAACAGTGCTCTAAAAAACAGGAAGGGGTATCTCATCCTTACTCATCTTTTCCCAAATTGCAACTTAACCAAACCTGTAAAGGAAGAGGAATTTTCTACTCAGTAAAGAGTGTTATCTTCTTTTTAGCACCTCTGTTTTCTGTGACTTAGTCAGTTTCATAATTCCAGCAACTAAAAGAAACAATCAAAATACCTGTAATCATTTGGATAAACTCATTTTTCCATCTCAGGTGCTGGAGGTGAATAAATCTGAGGCCAGAGAAAGAAGTAGCTTAATGTTTCAAATTCCCATTTAACAGATACTTGACTGGAGCAGTATGTTTAACAGAAGTCCTCGAAACTGGAAACTGAAGTACATCTTGAAGTATGTTATTAGACTCAAAGCAAAACCTAAATATTCTAGCTCTCCTCCCTTGCTCAACCTATCTATTGATGCAGGTGTGTTGAACAATTAACAGCCCAGTTTAAAGCAACAGCATCAAGCAGGAATCACCTGAAGGCAACTGCTCAGTGCCATCAATGTTGCAGCTTTCCACTGTCAACTTGCAGAGGTACCCTGAGTAGTGAAGCAACTCCACAGCTAGCGAGGTGCTCAGTGCTCCAGATGAAGTTAAATATAAGCCCTGGTACCAAATTAAATATTGTTACTTTCATACTTGTAACATACTAACAAACTCAAGGATAGAGGATCTCAGCAAATACTTGTAGAACTGTGAATTCAGAATCACAGAATTCTTTGGATGGGAAGGGACCTTGAAGACCAGTCCAGGCCCCATCCAATCTGGCCTTGAATACTTCCACAGATGAGGCAGCCCACAGTTTCTCTGGGCAACCTGTTCCAGTGCCTCACCACTCTCACAGGAAAGAACTTTCTCCTAATGCCTCATCTAAACCTACATTTTTTCAGTTTGAAGCCATTCCCCCTTGTCCTGTCACTATATGCTCTTGTGAATAGCCTCTCTTCATCTTTCTCCCTTCAGCTACCAAAATAAATGAAATCACTGGGATATATCAGATTAATAGCTTAACATAAGGCCACAGATTCAATGAAATAATTCTCCAGGCAGAAATGGGGAAAATATCAAGTATCAC